CAGTCACCGCCGCGGGCACTATGGTAAGGCGGGCGTGCCGGCCGGGACGCTGGGGCGCAGCGACCCCGGCCCACCGCGCAGCCCCGCATGGCCCTGGGACGGAGGCCGCCATTTTAACCCTATTTGGGCCTCCGAGGTGGGCGCTCCTGCGCGGCGGTCCCACTGCCCTCCCAGCCGGCTGGCCTGTACCCCCGCCCCGCAGTCGGGCCGGGCCCGCGGCTCCTGGGGTTCCTGGGGGCGGGGAGGCGGGCGCGGGCTGGGGCCGGGGTCGGGGCCGGGGCCGGGGTCGGGACGGGCCGCGAGGGGCGGCGGGGGACAGCCCGCGCGCGCCGCCGCCGCCTTCGCTCCCCGAGTCTCCTCGGCGCGCTGAAATTGGTGCGGGCCCTGAGGGCTCGGGGGTCGGGCCAGGCGGCCCTAAAGAACCGTCACGGGCTTGGGGAGGTGACCAGGCGCTTCCTAAGACGCGTTGTCGCGGCCCGTTAGTCCCCAAGTGGCCGCCTCGGAGCTACGGGGTAATTGTGGTGCAGCCGCGCGCGGTTGGCGTTTACACTGGCCTCTCTTTCCTTATGAGGAAAAGCGCCAGCGGCTAGGATGACTTTAAAGGGGGAAAAAAAAAACAACCAAAAAAAAAAAAAAAAACTAGTAGAAGCCTGAACTGAAATCCGTAAGTGTTTTTTTAAGGCCCGCAGAGTTGACACAATACAGAAGGCATTTTTGCTGCCGCTCCTGAAGCTCTGACATCACCCAGTGAAATAGGAAACATTTCAGGGATGGGACGGCTTCGATCCGTCCTGTCTCCACCTTCTCATCGCTTCTTTCTCCATGCGCCTTTAAGAAGGATGAATGGGCAATATGAATTAGAACCCTTAGGTGTGTCACTTAACATCTGTCTGGAATGAATAATAGCTTGCTTTTTTTTTTTTTTTTGGTGCAGTCTTTCCCTAAAGTGAATCCTCTCTAGGAAAACAGTAATTTTGGTGCAAACCAAAATACTAAATTCCTGTTCTTTGTTTCTTTTCAGGCATCTGGTGTTACAGTGAATGATGAAGTTATCAAAGTTTTTAATGATATGAAAGTAAGGAAATCTTCTACACAAGAGGAGATCAAAAAAAGAAAGAAAGCAGTTCTCTTCTGTTTAAGTGATGATAAAAGACAAATAATTGTAGAGGAAGCCAAGCAGATCTTGGTGGGTGACATTGGTGATACTGTAGAGGACCCCTACACATCTTTTGTGAAGTTGCTACCTCTGAATGATTGCCGATATGCTTTGTACGATGCTACATACGAGACAAAAGAGTCTAAGAAAGAAGACCTAGTATTTATATTCTGGTGTGTAAAAATAAAAGAGAAAAGTACTTTGAAAATGCAAGGATTATTATTATCACAGTCAGTTTTGCCTTTGTTTTTCTTAGAAGTGAAACTCAACAATTTTTTTCCCCCTGTAGGGCTCCTGAAAGTGCACCGTTAAAAAGCAAGATGATTTATGCTAGCTCTAAAGATGCCATTAAAAAGAAATTTACAGGTACAAGCATTGACTACTTTGGGCAGAGAAATTACTCTTTCCTAATTACAATAAGTAATGGCTGTTTTTTCTTTTTAGGTATTAAGCATGAGTGGCAAGTCAATGGCTTGGATGATATAAAGGACCGATCGACACTTGGAGAGAAATTGGGAGGCAATGTAGTAGTTTCACTTGAAGGAAAGCCGTTATAAAAAGATAGTCAGGTGCCATCTGCAGCTTAAGGGGCTTTCATTTCTCCAGCTCAGTCCATTGGAATAGTGTTAGGTTTTTGTTTTTTCCTTTTTTTCTTTTTTCCTTTCCATTGGGCCCTTCCAACACAGTGAATGAAGGAGATGTCATTCATATAAGCAGCCTGTCAGTGATTGCCATTAGACTGTTCAATGTGGTTACTGTTATGTAGAACCCAAGGAATGCCATCCTGTCTTATTTTAGCCAAAACAACTGGTTATATGCCTCCCTTGCAGCAAGCACTACAATGAACATGACTGTCGATGTGAATAGCTTAGAGTACTGCAAAGGGTAAGCAAATCGAATGCCTTGGAAGTATTACCCACTGGTCAGATGGTAAACTTTTTCAGTATTATTTATAGTTGCACTTGATTGCAGTTCTCTGAGGCGCTGGAGCATTCACACACCTCACCTGCCTTGGCAAGCCTATTTTTGTGACATGGCAGCACAGATATAACACTACGCGTTAAAAGCACTTTTTTGTAATGAGTTTAATCCCCTAAAAGGAATGCCAATTAAGTTTCATTAACTGTGTCATCAATTTATCCTAGTACCTCAGTGTTCATTCCTGTTACCTGCACATCTTCTTGGAAGAAATAGCTATTATTAATGCCTTTTGTTTTCCATTGAGTGTACACTACTGAGTAAGAGTAGGAGTTTTATGTTTACCATGTGAATAACACTACAATATTTTGAATATCAGTTATGATGGCAATTTCTGTATAAAAGAGCCTTAAGTGGAACATTGTTTTGAGAGCAGACTCCCCACCCTCACAAAACTGGCCACGTTGCAATAAAAATGGTGGCATATTACAGAATGTTGCCTTGTTTTCCTTGGAAATTTTGCAAAATGTTTTGTGAAAAAAACGTTTAGGATAAATAGCTATTAATCTCTGCACTGGTCATTTGAGAATTTTTTTGTACAACACTCATGCATATTTTCCAGATTTGTTGGATTTCTTTGGTTTAAAAATATCTTAAAGTCACTTAATATAAAATACCATCTTTAAAGAGTGATATTTTATAGACATGTTTATTTATTTCCTTATGTGTTAATATGGAGATCAGGAATTTTTTTTGTACTTGGACAGAAAGATTCTTCAATAACTTATTTGTTCTCTGGATAAATTAGGGTAGCTTTTTTAAATTCACATTTACATTTCTAAGTAGTGGAGTAGTAAAAGCATGGAATTTTTATTGCTTATTTGGTCATAATGAAAATAATTTGTAAAATGTCCTTCAAAAGTTTAACAATACTTCTTATGTTTAGGAATGTTTATTTCAGCTACTATTCCTTAATACGTTTTCTAGATTAATTTGGACAGAGAAATTGAACATTCTTAAAGGTTAATCGTTGGGACTTGGCTGTGGTCCAGCTTGCTCTCCTTACAGAGATTTTGGTCTGCTCACTGTGAGCAGTTTGCTGTTAGCCAGAGCTATTTATGGCAAACACATGCTTTTGTATCTTGTCATCGTTATCCACAGATGGCAAAGCTGGACTTGATGCTACTGTTACGCAAACTGACATGCTCGTAAGTAGTCAATCGTGGCTCAGAATTTTAACCCTGTAACTTTGAAGAAAGCTTCTGTCAGAAAACAGAAAATGAAAATCTCTTTTTTAAAAATTTTTTTAAATAAATGAAAGTAATTTATGTATATTAGATTTTTTTCCATACTTTTGAAAGATTTTTCAGATGAGAACATTAAAAATAAGGATTAAGTGTCTAGGTTTCCATTTAAAATTATATGAATGACTTGGGATCTTTTTTTTGTACTGAGCAATTTTAGTTCAGGCTTCCAGCTGTTCTGTGAGTTATCCTGGATATTTAGATAAGGCTACTCTAAGAAGAAAAACGAGAATGCTAATATAAGCAGGTTCTAAACCATATGGGTGAATCACTTACAAAATTTTGATGTTATAAGCTGATTTCTCAACTTCCATATAATAATTTCAGAGATGACATACTACTTTAAACTGTGATACTTTGATTTGTTAGATTGACAAACTGGTATTCATATAGTTAAGTTCTCCTTTGAAAAATACACATTTGTGCATAGAGCCAAAAAATAATGATTTAATTTCATTAATAAGTGATCATATGTTGGGATTAATTTAACATTTGAAATGATCATCTTATTTTACAATCATTTACAATGAAACAATGTTCCAGTTAGCTTTCAGAGGTATATGGTGCTAATTAGTAAAGTATTGATGGCAATATTTTATTGCTAGCTTGCAAAATTATAAGTGTTATGAAAATAAAATATGTGAAAATATTTTAAACTGTTGAGGTGTGTTTACTTACACTTTGGAACATTGAAAGTTGAAAAAGTATTACAGATTAAGGACGCACCATTATCTGTGTCTGTTTTTCAGGATTTTGGCTAATACTTTCTTCATCAGTTTTCTTTGAAAAGTGAGTGTTACAGCAATTTAATTTTCTCATTTTCAGACAAATTGTGACAGTTGGCATTTGTCCTAAACTAGCTGTCAGCTGTTGTTTTCCATCATTATCTAAAATAGTGTGGCCAGCGTTGTATATTTAATATGCCTTTTAGTAGATGAGAATAAAAGTCTATTACAAGGTTCAAGATTATCTGCTACAGACCCATGGCAGCAGCTAACTTAAGGATCTAGCGCATGGGCTTTGGGAGAAAGTTCTTTTAAAAGCATTTCCTCACTGAGGAACCATCTCAGCAATGGTAAATCACCCAGTGGATTAGAACGCTTACTAGGTTTGCCTCTAAAAAATCTTGTTTTGCTCTTCTTGGTCCTATCTTTGTTTTCAAGTTTAATAGCTGGAGATGAAAAACAACATAAATATTCATTTTTTTAATGAATATTAGAGTTCCTAGAGATGTGCAGACAGGCTTCACTGACTATTGCTTTTCAGACATGAACTATAATTGGTCTGTCTCTGTCAAGCAATAAAGGAGCCTTAAAGCTTTTTCTTTACTCTGAAACACCCAAATCATTGCTTTCTTTCCATGTAGAAGCGAAGGTCTTCTTTCTCCTCCAGTTTCCTCTTCATGCACTTGGGCAAGTCATTACCTCTGAGCTTCAGTTGTTTTTTTTTTTTTAATTAGCCCATAATATGGGGATGGTAACACCTGCCTACCATATCTGGTTGCTGAGCTTCAGATATGGAAATACTTCCTGAAAACAGGAAAATACTATGTTAATGTAATAATTTTTAAACCCTTAATAGTTAGTAGGTTGAGGAAACGTGTTAAAATAAGATCTGTTACAATCACTGAGCGGATGTTTCTGTTAGCTACTCTATTTAACTTCATAATCCGCTGTTGCGTAGCATGTTTTTCAGAAGTGGCTTCTGACTTGCTTTTCATGACAGCTTTTAATCTTTTCACTGTCTTTTTCATGTGTGAATAATCAGATACTAGTTTTCCCCAAATTTTAATTTTATTTCTTTTGTGTGTGTTGTGTTGGAAGTTGAACTCGGGGCAGGTACTCCAGCACTTGAGCCATTCTGCTAGCCCTTTTGTGTTGGTTGTTTTTTTTTGTTTTGTTTTTGCGATTCTGAGGTTTGACCTCAGTGCCTACACCTTGAACCATTCCACCAGCCCTTTTTTGTGAATGGATTTTTCAATGTAGGGTTTCATGAACTATTTGCCTGGGCTGGCTTTGAACCTTGATCCTCCTGATCTCTGCCTCCTGAGTAGCTAGGATTACAGGCAAGAGCCACAGGCACCCAACTCTTTTGGTTGTTTTGGAGACAGGGTCTCAGACGCTTTATTTCCAGGCCAACCTGGACTGTAATCCTCCTATTTCTGTTTCCCCAAGTAGCTGGGATTACAGATTCATACTACTGTGCCCAGCTATTGATTGAGATGGTGGTCTCATGGACTTTTTTGCCCAGCGCTGGCTTCAAACTGAAACCCTCTCTACTTTCCAACTAGTTAGGATTATATATTATATATTATATGTTGAAGTAAAATAAAAGAGAAAATAAAGTTAGCTAATGTTGCAGACTATTTGTCATAACTTTATGATCCACGTTGCTGAAAATCTATGACTTTATTATTAGTATCCTAAATGTATGTAGTTTTTCATAGTTTTCAGGTCACATTAAATCTGTTTGATCTCTGTAGTCCTCATAATTGTATTTTCCCCTACATATGAGGAAATAGAAGTTTGGAGAGATTAAAGGATATTACAAGCTATTGAGAAACAGAGTTAATCTCAGTCCCACACACTTTTCACAGTCTTTTAAGACATTTAAAGATGGAATAATTTGGTAATGTGTACATACATGAGTATGTACATGTTTTTGGCAATACTGGGATTTGAACTCAGGGCCCCATACTTGCTAGGCAAGCAATCTATCATTTGAGCCACTACACCAGCCCAAGTATATATATTTTTTTATTTTAACAAATGAGTGCTTCACAAATTTGCATGTCATCTTTGCACAGGGGCCATGCTAATCTTCTTAGTATCATTCCAATTTTAGTATATGTGCCACCAAATCGAGCACCAGGATATATTTTTAAGGCGGTGGGTTTTTTTAAGAATATTTGAAAAACATGCTGGGCACCAGTGGCTCACACCTGTAACCCTAGCTACCCAGGAGGCAGAGATCAGGAGTATTGCAGTCTGAAGCCAGCCCAGGCAAATAGTTCTCAAGACCCTATCTCAAAAAACCCTTCACAAAAAATGGCTTATGGGGTGGCTCAAGGTGACAGCCCTGAGTTCAAGTCCTAGAACCACACACAAAAAAAATTTGAAAATCAGTCTTGGAATGTTTTGTTTTCTAAGAAAGTTAGTGCTCATAAAAATTTGAAATATTTTTATATTTCAAAAAATTTTTCTTAGACATTTCAGTATTGTAAATTTACATAGTTGTGGAAAACAAAAGAACCAGGAAGCTGATATTTTGTAATCCTTTTCCAAAAACTTGGGTATCTCCCTCCCTTTTTTCCTCTACCTATTTTGTTTGGGGGGTGGGTTATTTATTCATTTATTCATATGTACATACGTTGTTTGGGCCATCTCTCCCCCCACCCCCTGTATTTTTGAGATGGTCTCACCGTGTAGCCAGACTGACCTCAAAATTGCCGTCTTTCTGCCTCAGCCTCCTAAGTGCTGGGGTCACGGGCATGCACCATCACTCCAGGAGAAATAGCATTATGTTTTCTGACTAAGTACTAGGCCTTTGGCGTCAGATTTCCTGCCTTATTGCATATAGGCCCTTAGCACTAATTGAACAACCTTAGGCAAGTCATTGAACCTTTAAGGGCCTTAATTATTCTATATAAAATGGGGGAGATGATGGTGCCCCTCTCACAGGATCGTGAGAATAAATGAGAGCACTTAGGGTAGTCCTGGCACACAGTAAGTGCTCAACAGGACGATCCTAAAATGTATGGTCCAAACCAGGATACTTTTTGAGAGTGAAAGGGAGAACTGTTCATAATTAGGCCAGGACAACTGACATAAGATAGGGCAATCGCAAGCAAATCAGGAGATTGGTTCACCCTACCACAGACAGACTAATACGAAAATGTAGTACTTGGGGCTGGTGTAGTGGTTCAAGTGGTAAAATGCCTGCCTAGCAAGCAGGAGGTCCTGAGTTCAAACCCCCTAGTTCTGAAAAAAAAAAAAATGAAAGTGTAGTAGTTAAATAGAATGAACTGTATTACTTGCCTGCGGCGTTGCTCAAGTGTAGAGCACTGAGGCCCTGCATTCAGTTCAGATACAACAAAAAGGATGAACTATATTGAAGACTCAGGATCAGCATTTAGTAATTTCAATTATATAATATATTAGTATGCTAACTTGGGAGTCTAACGAAGT